ACATGAACCCTTCAGCACTGTTAAGTTCAAATCCTAAGTGATATGCTGGCATTATGGCTTCTTTATCTCATCCATCACCTTAGCGGGTGACCACTGTTGCCATTTTCTGCCCTTTGCATATTTGAAATGAACCTGTAGACCACCTGAAATACTTTGTACAGTCACTGAATTTTCCTCAAGAATAGACTAAAGAACATGTTCGTTTTAGTAAAGTTGAATTGGAGAAACATTGGTTGGGCAAGTAATACTTTTCTTTTGTCCATGTGGGCAAACCAGTTTTTCTCGTTCAGTGGTAACCAGCATAATGTAAAATATGTGTATTTGGGTCATAGTTTCTTCATTTCATTTGTAATCTGGTATTTTGGGAGTATTGTTTTAAGTTTTCCTGTGCTACTTTTATTGATCTTGAAATTTCAAACTGTAAAACTAATGAAACCAGCAATATGCTTTGGAAAAGCTAGCAGAAAATTCCTTTATTTGGCTCCTGGAGGCCTTTTGTTTTGGTTTTTCCTTTATGAGAGTTTAGTGCTGGTTGTTTTCCTATGGGGTGTGTGCAGAAGTCACAGTATGCTTATGTACAGTTTAATGCAGACAAGTGACCTGGTGGGGACTTAAATTGTAAAATTTGGTAGCATTGTCCTGGTCATATCAGTATTTCTGAAAATGGAATGTCCCTAAGCAAGTTCTTTGAGAATTGTGACCTGGCAGTGTTCACTGTTACTCCTGTTGTCTGGTCTACTCCAAACTGGAGTTGTCTGATGAGCTGCATCTGACCTGTGGATCACCAGTAAAAATTTTTTGCTTTGCTGTGCTGAAGCTTTTTCTGTCCATGTCTTCCTAAAAAAGTAAATACTGTGACTCTAGTAGTTATCTTCTAATTACTGAATGTTACATGTGTCTGGACAAAGTTATTTTAAAATATTTTAATAAAATTACTTCTTGTCAGTTGATCACACTTTTTCTTTGGATGTGTGCAGAAATAACTTCATAGAATCACAGAACATTCTGACTTGGAAGGGACTGACAGGGATCATCAAGTGAGGTACAAAGCAGTCTCTGTGTTCCATGCTCAGATGCTGCTTTAGCCATACGAAGTGCTGAGTAGTGTCACCCATAGTCCTGTTTCAAGATAGGCTTTCAAATACTTGGTCAGAATTGTTTGGATATGGATGTGGCTTTGGGGGTCCTGGCCTTTTTGGAGGCTTGAGATGTTATGGATCTCATGTTAATACCTGGATTTTCACTTCTTGTGTTGAGAAGTAATACAGTTTTGCTTTTTGAACGAATAAACATTACTGGTAACTAGTAAATTAATAAAATTTAAATAAACAACACTAATTTTCATAGAACCTTCTTTTTCTTCTTTACTCATTTGTTTAGTACCTGTTCCATGGAATTTTGAATCTGATGGGTTAAACCACTTTTCACCAATGTCCATTAAGATGCTGAGCTGTTGGTTGCATCCATAGGGTAGTGGTCAACAGCTCAGTGTCCCAATGGACAGTGACAAGTGGTGTCCCTCAGATGTCTGTGCTATTTAGTGTCTTCACTAGTGACACAAAGGGATCAAGTGCACCCTCAGCAAGTTTGCAGGTGACATGAAACTGAGTGGTGGGGTTGACACAACAGAAGGATGAGATGCTATCCAGGGGGACCTGGACAGACTTGAGAATTGGGAACCTCACTGAGGTTCAACAAAGCCAAGTGCAAGGTGCTGCACCTGGTATCAATAACACACTGGGGGATGAACAGATCAAGAGAAGAGGACTTGGGGGTGCTGGTGGATGAGAGGCTGGACATGAGCTGGCAATGAATGTGTGCTTGCAGCCCAGAAGGCTAGTCGTGTCTTGGTCTGCATCAAAAGCAGTGTGGCCAGCAGGTTGAGGAGGGAATTCTGCCACCCTACTCCACCCTGGTGAGAACCTACCTAGAGTTCTGCATCCAGGTCCCCAGCAGAGGAAGGACATCGACCTGTTGGAGCGAGTCCAGAGGAGGGACACCAAGATAATTAGAGGGATGGAGCACCTGTCCTATGAGGAAAGGCTGAGAGAATTGTGAGTCTTCAGCCTGGAGAAGGCTCTGGGGAGACCTTGTTGTGGCCTTTCGGTACTCAAAGGGGGCTATAAGAAAGACAAACTTTATAGCAGGGTCTGTTGTGATCGGACAAGGAGTAGTGACTTTAAACTGAAGGAGAGTAGGTTTAGATTAGACATATGGAAGAAATGTCTTACAGTGAGAGTGGTGAAACACTGGAACAGGTTGCCCGGGGAGTTAGTGGATGCCTCATTCCTGGAAATATTCAAGGTCAGATTGGATGGGGCTCTGAACAACCTGATCTAGTTGACGATGTGCCCTGAAGGGGGTTGGACTGGATGAACTTTAAAAGGTCTCTTCCAACCCAGACTGGTCTATGATTCTTTGAAAACAATACTGATTTTTACAGGTATGATGTATTTCCACTAGTAAAAATACTTGCTCAGGCAGATCTTTATATTCACTACCACACTTTAACAGACACCAAAAACCCCTTTCTGACTATTTTCTGAAGGTACCATGCCCACCATTTCTTCATCTGCCATTCTACTTTTGATGATCAGGTTGTGGAAAAGAAGTGGGTGAAACAGCTGCATGTGTTTGAGTTTTAGTGTGGGTTGGGGGTCAAACATAAAAAGCTGTATTTATATTGGAAAGAGAGAGAACTGTGCCAAACTGATTATACTTGTAAATGCACTGGAGTTTTACCTAGAGCACTGAGCCAAAATGAGTGCTTGTTTTGGAATAGATTTAATTAAAGTTTTTTTCAAAGGCTTTTTGATAAACTTGTTAAATCAGTTTGGGAACCACTGCTTTGTAGGGAACTGGTTAAGGGCATACTGTTGTTTTTCTCTTTTTTTTTGTTTATTTGTTGGTTGATTTGGTTTTTTGTTGGTGTTTTTACAGATGTTCAGATTCCTTGTGCCTTTTACAGTTGCCTTGTATCACACAGTGGCAGAGTGGCTGGGATGCCTCCAGCTGGATATACTAAAGTATTTCTGGATTTCTGCAAAATTGGGTTTTGTTTATCCCCCTTAGAAAGCTTGAAATAATTTATTATTTTGAGACATGCTAAAATTTGAGAATATGCTGCTTTTTATAAGTGTGACGATGATCTCATTTTCTTGACAGATGTCAAGCCGTTAATATCAGCTAGTGTATACTTCTCTAGAGCTTTTAGTGCTGCTGTTTCACTGGGACACTTTGTTTAAGCCAGCATATCACCCTAAAGTATTGTTCTAATTCTCAGAACTGCTCTTGGCACCCTTTACATGAGAGTTCAACACTTACTATCCCGTGGCATAAAGCTGGCTTCACTATGTACGTTTTGATAGCTCAGTCATTTGCTATGTACAGTCAGAGCTCTTTAATGCATCCTCTCCAGACCTAGTGAGTTGTTTAAATTGTTTGTTAGAACACTTCACCTCTTGGTATGTGCATGATGTTGCCTTGCCTTAGAAATGCAGGGCTGGCCATAAGGTATGAGTTGATACATAAGATGAAAGAGCTGTATGTTCTAAAACACAGAATACATAACCACGGGGATGCGTCATTTAGATTCCTGAAGGTAACAATTCACTTTCATCACAGTTATAAACAGGGAGGTTGTGCTACTGTTGAGAAGACAGCTGTGTGGCTACCTAATCGTGTTCATTTCAGTCGATATCACATCTGTCAGTCAGGCTCTCTGTTTTTGACTGCAGGAGCAAACTCTGCCATCGTTATCATGATACTTGTGTTGAAAGGTTAAACAGAGTAGAAAGGCAATTTGGAGTTGGTTAAGGTGTCCTTGATTTGTTTGTATTGTATTACAATGGTGAAATTAAGATGGGCCCAGTAAGAAGTTTTTCAAGAAGTGCCTTTTCCCTTATTTTACCCTTTTTTGAATCCAAACTTTGCTTCACCTTCTGCTTGTGTGTGTGTAGGAATGGAATGTAGAAAAGATATGACTGGGAGTGGCTTTGGACCTCTGTTTTCAGGTAAGCGTTTAGGGGCATGAAAGGCAATGAGAAGGACTTCTGCAAGTATATCAGCAGCCAGAGGGAGACTAGGGAAAATATGGAAAAAGCTGAGGCCTTTTTTTAGTCTTTATTGGTAAGATCTGCCTTCTGAGTCCCAGGCCTTGGAGACTAGTAGGAAAGTCTGGAGCAATGAAGACTTAGCCTCAGTAGAGAAGGACCAAATAATGGAACACTTAAACAAGTTTGCTATAAGGGAGTCCATGGGAGCTTGCAGAATGCACCTATGAGTGTTGAGGGAGCTGATGTCATAGCAAAACCAGTCTGGATTATTTTTGGAAGATTGAGACAATAGAAGACTGTTCCTGAGGACTGGAAGGAAGCAAATGTTACTCCTGCCTCCAAGAAAGCAAGAGGGTCAGGGAATTTATAGACTGCTCAGCCTCACCTTGACCCTGGGAAGATGATGGAGCAAATTCTCCTGTGAAGCCATTTCCAAACATAGGAAGAACAAGAACATGATTAGCAAAAGTCATTGTGGCTTTACAAAAGGCAAAATCGTGCTTGACTAGCCTGTCAACCTTCTGTGACAAAACGACTGAGTTGGTGGAGGAGGAAAGGGAAGTTCGTACTGTTTGACCGTAACAGTTCGTTTGTCATTTTCTCCCTTAACACCCTTGTTGACAGTCTAGCTGATGCCATCCAGGGTAGCTAAGCAGGCAAGGAGGGGGATTTCAAACTGACTGAAATGTTGGGCTCAAAGGGTTGTGAGCTATGGTGTGAAGTGCAGCTGTTGACCAGTTACTAGTGCTGGTACTAGTTACTAGTTGCCAGTTACTAGTACCCTAGGGGTTGATAGCAGGGCCAGGGCTGTTGATCATCTTCATTAATGACCTGAATGATGGGACAGAGTGCACCCTCAGCAAGTTTGCAGATGATGCAAAATTGGGAGGAATGGATGACACAACAGACGGTTGTGCTGCTGTTCGTAGGGACCTTGGCAGGCTGAAGAAATGAGCTGACAGGAATCTCATGAATCTTTGAATCTCATGTTCAAAAACGTTCCGCAAGCAAATCTGCAGGAAGAGTGTCTGCATTCCAGCATCATTCTTCTGGTACTTCACTTTTCATACCATTGCCAGCTGTTGGCAGACTGCTTGTACTCTGCCTTGAGCAGCATGCTGCCATTTACATGTGGTGATTAGACTAAAATATGCAAAACTGTTTGGAGAGAACTGTCAAAGTCCTAGAGAAGAATGTGATAACAAAACTGAAACATTTATTTTAAGGGTACTTGAAGTGTCAAGGAGGTGAATTTCACAGCTCTGGACCATTATTTAAATGTTACTTTATGCCAGAGTTGAGTGAAGCAAGGAATGTGAAAGTGGTTTTAATCACAGCTTATGTAATGGTTTGCCCCTTGAAAACTTCAGAGTTACTGCTGTCTAGCCCTGTGTTGCTGAACCCATGGTCTGTTATGCTTGGTACAGTCAGCCCTACTGCCACAAGTTGCATTTGGTTTGCAAGTTATTTCTTCGTGAAAGTGCAACATCTTTTACAGCTGTCCTTAGGTCTTCAGAACTAATGTCACTTTACATTACTGTTTGCTTAAGCACATCTCTTTCAGTATTTCAGATGTCTTGGTTTGTAGTTCTCATCTTTTGAAATGTTTTAGCTGGTGTTAATGGTTGCACAAAAAGTGAATTGTGAGGAGACAAAACCTGTGAGGATGAAGACTAAGAACAGACTCTTAGGTTGTCTGCGTTGTTTATGGGGGACCAAAATAGCTTTAATAGAAGTGTTGGGGTGTATGTTAAGTATCTTGTATGATGCTATTTAAAGCATTTGACACAAGAAATTGGAGTCCAGAAGAAGGACTTGAAGGTGACCTGTGTTGATTATCATGGCCAAACTTGCACATTAAGTAGTGGTTGTGTGAATTCTGGAAGGTTTTTCATAAAGTGAAATTTTAATGTGACTACAATTGTTTGAAAGGAGCGAAAAGCAACAGCTTTGTAACATCAGTGCTGCATCTGATCTTAGTAGTACATAACAGTTCAGGAGAAAAACTTGGAATAGGTACATGATACGAACTATGCTCTTCTCTGCTAAAAATCCCAGTGTATCAATTTCTGTTATTTAGGGTTTTGTGCTGGTCTGTTGTAGTCCATCTTTATTTTCATCTGAGACTGTGACATCCTTCAATGGCTTTTTTCTTTAATGAATGGTGGTGTATGAGTGAAAAAACCATCACAAGCTTCTAAATTATAGTTAGTTTCTGGAATGGAGATTCTCGTCAACATAGTTAAGCCAAAGTAAAAAACAAAACCAACCAACCAACAAACAAACAAAAACCAAAACAACAACAAAACCACCAAACCCCCCAACCATAAAACTTTGATTAATGTGATTATGCAAAGAAAAATTTCAACTTGGTGCCACTAATACTTGATGCAGATGTTTGTCTATAGACACAACACCTTCATGGACTTCTGTGGTTAACTTTTTACTTAGGTTGACTTGGCAGATGTGTCAGAGCTAGGAGTGGATTTTGAAAGTGCATCAGTGATTGATGTCCATATGTATTCATTTTGATAATGAAATCACACATGTATCACGAGTTTGTGTGAGAAGGCAGGCTGGTTGGCTGGAGGTGAACAAAAAAAGTCTCTCCTAGTTTTCTGAATCTAGAAATATTTATCCATTAGAGTCTGTGGTTTCCAAGGTACTGTGTTATATCCACTTCTTAAAGGGGCATTCTCAAGCTTATTTGTAAATCAAACTTCTGAAAACTTAAATTTGCTGCAACATTTTCTGCTGACAAATATACCTAAGTATCTGTGCGTCATCATATTCCAATCAAATGCAATCAGCGTGGCAATTGCTTAGATAATCCGTGTTGGAAGGAATATGTCAATAGAAAGGAGCTCCTGTTTTAATCCTAATAATTCCAGTTGGAATGTGTGTTGTCTGCTGGATTGTTATTTGAAGTGAATGCCAGAAATTCTTATGATAAAATCAGTGATAATCATTATGCCAGTTTAAGGAGACACAAGCTCCACTCCAGAAATTCATGGGAAGGAAAATCTGCAAAATGTGATCCAAGATGAGACTGTATGTAGGCCATGGAATACCTCTCTCCCCAAATGTGGGTACTCAAATTCTGGAAGTCTGTCTGCTGTGTGAACCTAGTTTTATTTCTTGTCTGTGAAACTGATCTTACAATTTTGAGATGCTCTTGGCAGGGAATTGATAAGAAAAATATTTATATAGTTGCAGCTGTGTGGTTCTTCCTCATGTATATACTTGATTCCAGATGTCTAAATCCAGTTTTCTTTTTTAAAGAGGTAGTAGTCAGTCAGCTCCCTGATGTGTACAGTAGCATAACTGCAGTGTAGTTTGCTGAAGATCCTAAAGTGACAATACAGTTAAGAAGTGTTTTTAACAGAGTTGGTTTCTTATTTTAAGTAGAGATAATTGTGGAACAGTGTAATAAGGGACCATAGCATTACAGGTAGGTAAGCAATCCAGAAACTTATGAAAATTCAGCTGAGGTTTTTTTGATAGACTTTGCTTCATCTGAAGTTGGACCTCAAGAGCTAACTTTTGCACTCAGAGCTTGCTCAGTGCAACCTAAGCCGAACAGTAAAAGTACAGTGAAAACAAAACAATTTCATAGCAGCTCTTCGGAGAAGGGATATTTTTGCCTGCAAGTTTGTTCAAAGCCCAAGTAGCAGCTCATAATGTAGTGGCACTTCCTAAAAAATTATGCTTATGCATCTTTTCCATATAATAACATATTTCATTCCTATTTAAAATAGCATTTGTGAATTTAGTGATACTTTTAGTTCCTGAGAAATGGAGATCTTAGTCTTGCTTTACTTTTTAGGAAATGCTGTGTATGTATTACAAGGAATGTAAGTGGAATCTGTAAATCTTGACATCTAGTTTATTCAGTCCGGACTATGGGATTTGCTTTGTCATTATGTAAAAAAGTACAATATGAAAGTGTGCTTCACTGTTTGAACTAGGATTTAATATAGGCAAGCTTAAATTTGATTCTGTGACTTGGCTTTGTGTTTTGCTGTGTGTTGCTTCCACAATTCTCTTTGCTATTTGATAAAATTACATTCTGTCTCTCAAAAATTCGTAGCCATTACCTTAGCCTGATGTTAAAAAGTGAGGTAATGTATTTTATCTAATGTATGAAAAGCTTGAACTGGAAAAAATATTAAGTGTTTGAGATCTCACCTGTCAGATTTTTTTCCCTCCCCATCTCAGTTTGAAATGCAAGTATCTAGAAATACAAACTTATTGCTGACACTTAGTGATTGAACTAAATATGGGAGCAAGATGGTCCAACTGTCTCATTCTGGTAAATATTGTTAAGGGTTTATAGCTTTAACCTGAATTAAGCTTTTGTATAGTTTTCAGAAGACATTTTACTAAAAAAAATTTGAAATAATGTTTCTTATTTGCTCAGTGCTCTCCACTTGCATAAACTTCAAGCAAAATGCAGAGATCACTGCTCCATCTTGAGGAACTAGTAACTAAATATAAAGATCTCATAATAAAAACACAGTAAAACCACATTCGAAGTCATTCAAAGAGTCTGGACCAGTCCTTTTACTAGTTGTGTAGTTGAGAAGATAATTTTTGACCAATAAAAAGCAATAATTTTACTTAGGAGGGAAATAAGTAAAATATTACCATTTTATTTAGGAGCCCTGCAGTTTATTATTGACCTAAACAGATTGTTCTGTAAGGACTTACTGCCAGTTCTAAGAAATAAGGAAAATGAACCTGATTAAAATACTTGTTGACCTTGTACCTTATGTCATGGGCATCTCCTTGCAGGTTTGGCGATGTAGTCCTAAAAAAGGAAACACAGAAAAAACCCACAAAAACAGTAAACATCTCATTTTTCCTGAATAGACGCATACAGTTTCCTTAATGAACAGATCTGAACTATATTCCGATGAATTCCAAATATCTGGATTGGAAGAAATAGAAATAATTAATAGCATTTTTGTTCCACTAAATCAGTTCCAGGAAACATGTAGCTTCAAAAGAGAATGGATGTAACAAATGAAAAATTTCACACAAGACTGCCACACAGGGAGCTTCACAAATACATTGTTCCTAGTTCACCAGGATCTGTGAAGTGGACAAGGCTTGGTTAGAAAAGCATCTATGTTTTCGACAACAATTTTTGTGAAAGCCGAAATAAGTAACTAGCTAAAGAGTATTTATTATCCTAATCTCCAAATTTGCACGCTTCTTGCTGCTTTCCTGACAGGATGTTTTGGAGGACAGTGTGTTCCTCCCTTGAGGTCTAGACAGGACAGGGAATAGATCTTCATCCTTAAGAACTGGAGCCATTTTAAACAATGATGCACCTTTGATATGTGATTGTCTGCAGAGAAGAGGGGTATCAGCTACAGCACTTCCTCATATTGTTGTGTACTCAGGAACACGTCACTAGGAAAGTATCAAATCTTTACAAAGTCCACATTGTAAACTGAACTGTGTGCAAAGCTGTAATTTATGAAAGCTCAATTTCTTGAAGACCTTTGTACTAATTAATTTAAAACTCTACCCTTGCTTTGTAGATATAGTTTAGCAGGTTGTTTTACTCCATGTGACACAGCTGTTTTAAACTTAGCAAGATAAATGCTAAGGTGTTTGTTTGGTTGGTTTTTTGTTTGTTTTGTTTTTGTCTTTTCAGTTTTTTGTTTCTTTGTGGGTTTTGGGGTTCTTTTGGTAGTATTTGGTTTTTAACTTTTTCCCTTCCTTTTCCTTTCTTTTTTTTTTGTCCCCCAGTCATGACTCTTAGTTGACATCCTTCACATCTCCATAGACTGACTGTTAGACAATTTTATAGCAGAACTAGAGAGCTGGATTGCTGGGAATTGTTTTGGTTTGTTTTTAAAGCTGTTTTCTGCTGAAGTCTTCTTGTGAACTTTCCTCTGTAAAGTAACTCCCTTCTGTCCTTATGGGGCTATGAGTTGGTGTTAGGTGAGTGCTGTTTCTGGATTACTTGCATTATTGCTGCCCAGTTTAAAAGAATGTCATTAGTTTAATTTCAGTGGCATGGATGTAACATTTCAAGAAC